ATGAGCATGACAAGAAAATGTTTTTCTATCATATATCGAGGAAAACCTCATTTTTATAATAATCAAAATATCTTATGTAAAATCAAATATCTAGCATAAACAAATATTTAAATCTGTATTACTTTCTGTACACACGGAGGAAATATATTCTGAAACCAAAAATAACGTTATTTTAAGTACCTATTTTTTCTGTTTTATTTATTTCTACTATAATTTTCGTTATTAAGTCTAAGAACTGACATTGTTGACATTAAAGACGATAGATTGATTGCGGGAGTGTAAAAATCATGCAGGTGAAAGTCCTTTAGCTACTGTGTAATTAAAATATGAAAGTGCATTATCGCCCCATGAGGTATAATAATGTGACCCAAAACTGGTTATTACAGTCGGTGGCCTTAGTCAAGAGGTCCAGAAAGTAGTAAATTACTTAGGAAGCACTACCACATCTTGGATTAATCCCTTCAGCCGCCTACGAAACTAAGTTTCAACTTTAAGTTCTTTAAGTAAGTTTCAAGTTTAAACTTTAAAAAAAAATGAACGAGAGTTTATTAGTTTAGTATGTGTATTCACGTATCATCAATTTTCCAGGCGTTTTCATTGCTCCTCCACAAGGTGCCAGGTAGTGACTGTAGGGAGGATGACTCACTAGTTCCACACCTTTGATAGACAAAGATTCGAAAGTCTGGCTGGCGGAGTAAAAACAAATAACACATGAAATCATTAAGCATCTACAGATTCCCGAAGAGTTACTAATTCTAAATTCAAAAATTGTATTCATTGGCTACTTTTCTTACTTACAGTGTAAGTAAGTAAACATTGTAAACCACCTACTGCGACTACCACATTTTCTGCAAATAAACATTATTATTATTATAAAGCAAATGTTTAAAACAATCGCCATGTCTCTAACTTAACAGATTAACATTGGGTTTAAAACAATTATGAGTGCTTAATTCTAAATCTCGCAACCATAGCTCAGTATTAATTGGTAACAAAACACTTATTGTACCTTGCCTTTTAAGATTAGAGTTTCATTTTTATTTCATTTCAAGTCATTGTTAACCAGATAAATATTTTCAGAAATATAATAAATCTCTTAAAATAAACTGAAAATATTTTAATCCTTCAAAATATTGGTTCAATAGTATTGTATTTTAGTACAATTACCAATGATCCATTATATTTTTACCGAAGAACAGTGGCGCAGAAATATTATGAATTAAAAAGAATGAATGCTATAAGATTTTACTTTTGGTAAATAGGTTCTATGCATAATTTTAATATGATATTTTTATTGGCTCTTTGTGAAACTTGGACTTCACGTATTTGTTTGTTTTACTGAAAATATTCAATTTAAGAATATATTATCCAAAGATTTAACAAACTGTAGCTTGCACGACGACATTAATGATGTTGTACGAGGATATCTGACGTGTATAGATAGTTCAACTCAGTTGTGCGCGCGGCCCTATGTGTGCGTGGGCTTGTAAATATACAAGGTGTCTCAAAAGAAAGTTTATATTTAGTAGATCGATTAAAAAAAAAGTAAGCAGTGTATCGAAAAAATGTTTATTAATTATTAAAGTACACAATTTGGGAATTTATTTCTTAAAAATAATATCGTCCAAATGTATGCCGCGTTCGCGGCACTCATTTAATCGAACAGTAAAATTACTTATGACGGCTCGGCAGGTGGACTCAGTGATGGCTGCCATTTCGTGACGAATATTTTCTTTCAAATGTGCCAGGGAAGTCGGTTTATTCGCGTAAACTTGAGATTTAAGATAACCCCATAGGAAGAAGTCCATAGGGGTTAAATCAGGACTGCGTGGAGGCCAATTTATGTCACCTCTCCTGGAGATCAATTTTCCTGAGAAAATTTCACGAACTCGTGGCAGAGACGTATTGGACGTGTGTGACGTTGCTCCATCCTGCTGGAACCATGTTCTTTGGTTATAGCCAGGAAAGATTTGCAGTTCAGGCGCCAAGAAGTCGTCTAATATCTCCACATAACGCTCTGAATTCACTGTAACTGCACGCCCCCTTTCGTCTTCAAAAAAGTAAGGGCCGATAATTCCTCGCGCCGACATCGCAGCCCATACGGTCACTTTAGGCAAATGAAGGGGTTTCTGATGTTTGCGTTTCGGATTCATTGCACTCCAGTAGCGGCAATTCTGCTTATTTACGTGTCCATTAACATGAAAATGAGCTTCATCCGAAAACAAGATGTCGGTAAACGTTGAAAAGCGCTCAATCGCCTGATTTACGAAGTCAAGCCTCTGACTGGCATCTTGGGGCTTTAATTCTTGCACCAATTGAATTTTGTAGGGATGCAGCTTTAGATCTTTGCACGATGATCTATGCACATTTAAAGCACTTGCGCGCTGCCGAGTTGAAAGGTTCGGGTCGTCACGAACAGACTGATTAACACTCTCCACGTTTTCTACCGTTCTTGATGACCTTGGTCGCCCGGATTTTGGTTTTTCCAGCGTTGTACCGGTCTCTTCAAACTTTTTGACCCATTTTCGAATAAGAGGAATGCTTGGCGCATCATTTAAATGGCGATAACCTCGAACACTACAAAACCTTCTACGCGCTACAGTCGCCGAATCACCGTTTTTGTAAAACTCTCGCACACATAACGCACGGTCTGCTCCCGAGAAACGCTCCATAGCGACTGAATTCCCAAGAGCCAGGCTACCGATTGACATAACCCCCGTGCCCCTCGGACTCGTTGCCTTCACGCAGTAAGCTAAATAAATATAAACTTTCTTTTGAGACACCTTGTACAACTTTCATTCGTGTGGCAGCAGAGTTCGATTCACTCTCGGGTGACTAAGTCGTGTTTCGAGCGAATTTATTAAAGTATATTGCGGTTGTTTACTACCCAGATACCGGTTTAAGCCGGTGCGCACACGCGCAGCCGGCCGTTATCGCGTAGTGAACCTTATGCAGTATGAGTGAAGGTATTATTGAGAACGTAAGTACTACGGACATTGCTGATAATTTAATTATGGACGGTAGCAGTATGGACGAAGAGGACTTAATACAGAATGAAACTCAAATAATGAATAGCAACGATGAAAACTTACACAACCAAGAGGGAGATTGGATTTTGTGCGCAGGAGAGAAGAGAAGAAAAAGTGAAAAAAATGATATTTGCATTACCAGCACAGAAAAATTACCAAAACAGTTTGCATTGGCTAAACTATTTCAAGGGGAAAACATAGGAGGAATAAAAGCCATAAAATATGTAAATGCCTATAAAATAATAGTAACATTCGAGGATCTATTAAGTGCTGAGAAATTAACCACTTGTCCAAGCATTAAAGAGAAAGGATGGAAAATATACAAGACGTGGGAGGTTGGAGTATCGTATGGTATCATAAGAAATATAGACTTAGAATTATCGGAGAGTGAGCTGTTATCGTCTATACAAAATATAAATGACTGTGAGATATTATCGGTAAAAAGACTAAACCGGAGAGATCCGGAATCTGGTTGGATACCTACGGAGACCGTACGTATATGCATTAAGGGAAGTTTTCGTCCGCAATATATTAAGATAATTAATATAGGAGTAAGAGTAGAACCTTACATATTTCCGGTAACTCAATGTTCCCGATGTTGGCGCTTCGGCCACCCCTCAAAATTCTGTCCATCTGTAAAAATCATTTGCCCAAAATGCGGCCAAGATCACGCAAATTGTGACACAACTACATTTAAATGTGTGAATTGGAAGGAAAATCATATATCGCTTGCTAAGTCTTGTCCTGTATATATAAAGGAAAAAAAGATAAGGAGTTTGATGTCTGACTTCAATTGTACATATCGTAAAGCATTAAACATGTATGTACCTCCGTTTTCACCACGACCGCACGTACAAAATCAAACTATGATCCCTAGTAACTTGACTAATAGGACTAATATGTCACAACATAAAAATCAAACGTATGCGGCAGTTACAGCGAGTACACATCAATACACAAATATTGTCGAAGTCGAAGATACGCTTAATCAGGTTAGGCAACAACCAGCAAAAAGGAAGCAATGCAATTCATCAGAGCATATAACATTTGAATTAAATTCGTCATCATCGGAGTCGGACGCCGAGGCGGGTGGCGAGATGTCCTCGGTCGCAGGCGGACGCATCACTACTGAAGGCAGCTCCGCCGATGTCGCCGATTATCAACTACGAAGACTAGTGAAGACGGTGTGGAAGGTTTATCTTTTATAAACGAACAACACATTAATAATTTTGAAACCGATGAACATAGTAAGCAATCTAAACCTGAGACGTTGTCAAAAAAAAATGAATCATTCCAATCGCTTCTGAATAAAATTAAAAAGTTAATTTTTTCAAAGAGATACACTTGGGTTCAAAAAATTAAAGTAGTTATTAATGAATTTGTAGAATGGTGCCTATCCAGTCTCTTGCATAATATTACTGAGATACCTTTACTCAAAAACTTAAATGATATGTTCTTAAACTGCCAAAATGTCTAACAATATAATGATTAATTTTTTACAGTGGAATGCACAGAGTCTTAAACCAAAACGGTCGGAATTCGAACAATTATTAACACAAGAAAAAATTCATATAGCCGCGGTTTGTGAAACCTGGTTGGATCCTTGTACTAAATTTAGATTAAAAAACTATAGGGTATTTAGGGCAGACAGAGAAGATGGCTACGGGGGTGTTTGCCTTATTAGCCATAATTCTATTCAAGCGCAATCATGTCGTATATACCACCCCAATGAGGACATACAGATTCTTCATTGCAAGATTTTTAACTGTAAGAATATCGAAAATGTAATAACTGTTTACTGCCCTCAGTGGGCGTCTACACGTCGACATGACTGGGACGTTCTGTTTTCACAATTTCATTATAAAACCTTAATTTTAGGTGATTTTAATGCACACCATTTCACCTGGTCATATAAAACTGATGTTCGTGGTTCCCAAATATACGATTCTTTATCGGATTGTAGTTTGGTTTTTTTAAATGATAACAGTCATACTCGCATTAAGTTGGTAGCTGGCTCAATACAACAAAGCTCTCCTGATATCTCAATAGCCTCATCTGATATAGCATGTTTTTTAAACTGGAGAGTAACAAATGAATCCCTGGGTAGCGATCACCTCGTTATTGGTATTTCTACTGCGTCCTCTTTTAGTCCATATTTCGATAAAAAGCGTAACTTCAAGGCCGCTGACTGGGATGCGTATAAAACTTGTCTTGAGAGCAAATTTTCAAATTTTGTCATAGCAGGTGAACCTCAATGTTTATATGATGATTTTATTAACCATATCAATCAAACAGCCAATGACCTTATCCCCACAAAAAAAAAGTCTCTAAATCCCACAAGCAATTTTACCCCATAACCTTATTGGACTCCTAAATTATCACATTCAGTAGCCAAAAGAAGACTTGCTTTATCCAAATTTAGGAAAAACCCTACACCTTTTAATCTAGTTATTCTTACTCAGTGTGTTAAAGAGTCTCAAAATCTCATAAAAAAGGCCTCAAAAAAAAGCTGGCATAGATTTTGTGATAGCTTGGATGAGGTTTCTTCTGCTAATGAAATGTGGCGTAAAATGAAATGGATGAAGGGAAACATAACCTGTAACCCTTTCGTAGATCAAAATAAAAGTGAGTCGCTATTGTCAAGTTTATGCCCTGCGTATGTTCTTAATTCTAAGCCTAATTTCATGTCTAAAAACGATAAAATAGAATCCGAAATTACTTTACATGAACTCGAAACTTGTATTAAGACGAGTGATACGGCACCGGGGTGGGACGATATATCATTTTCAATGATAAAACATTTGCCTAGTAATGGAAAGAGAGTATTATTATCCCTATACAATATAGTCTTAAATACTGGTTTCACTCCCTCTCAGTGGCGTGACATTTGTGTCGTTCCAATCCCAAAGCCTGGACGTGATCCCACACTTATTACATCTCTCCGCCCTATTAGTTTGATGTCCTGTGTTTGTAAGATATTTCATTCAATCTTGAACAGGAGATTGGAGTGGCTTTTTGAAGGAAAAGGGTTATTTTCAGAAGAGACTGTTGGTTTCAGAAAATCAAAATCTAGTCTGGATAGTTTGACGCGACTGGTAACGAGGATCCAGTCAGGTTTCTCCAAAGATTTAGCGACCCTAGCATGCTTCCTTGACATTGATAATGCATACAATAATATTAACATAGACTCATTGTTGTTTATTTTAGATGAGATTGGTGTTGGCGCGAAAATATGCAACTACCTTTGGCAATTCCTTAGTACAAGAAATTTAAAAATTAAATATGGATATAGTTTCATTAACCGCACTACAGGTCAAGGACTAGCACAAGGCGACCCACTGTCCCCATTGTTATTTAACGTTGCAACTTACAATATTTGTAAATTCATAAATTGTGTATTTGTATCTCAGTATGCCGATGACTTCGCACTGTACACTTCAGATAGATACGTAGAAGATGCACGTAACTCTCTCCAGGGGGCATTAGATTTTTTAGTTAAATCATTGGCAAATTTAGGTTTAAGTGTTTCGCCTTCGAAAAGTAAGATGTGTATCTTTAAAAAGGGTACTAATAGGAACAATTGTATAATAACAATTGAGGGTATCCCATTGGAAGAAGTATCTAGTGTGAAATATTTGGGTATGTGGTTAGACCGATCTCTAAAATGGACAAAACACATTAACGAACTATATGCAAAAGCACATAGATTTTTAAACATTTTAAAAGTACTGGTTGGCCCGGGGTGGGGTGTACACCCTAAACATTTACGACGACTGTATATTTCATTAATTAGAAGTCGCTTAGATTACGGCAGTTTTCTTTATGATAGTTCTTGCAAGTCAAAATTATACAAATTAGACAAAATTCAGAATGCAGCTATGCGTATAATTGGAAGTTTCGTTAAAAGCACTCCCATCCACGTAATGGCAAGCGAACTTTGTATCGCGCCCTTACAGATTCGTCGACTATTTCTAGGGGGTAAATTTTGGCTTAAATCGATGTCCATGTCTAACAATTGCACAATCAATGTTATAGAAGAATTAAACTCACTTATTTCACGTAGATACTGGAGGCGTAAAAAGATCCCTATTCTCCTTACAATAAACTCCACATTTAAGGATATTAATATATATTCACAATTAAATTTGGAAATGTTCTCATTAGATTATTGGATTAACTGGTACAACTTAAATGATGTAGTGAAGCACAATATTGAAGGTATATGTGGTGCGAAGAGAAACTATAACCCTTGTCTGCTCCGGGAACACTGCTCCCTATATATCAAAAGCAAATATGCTAATTATTATAAAGTTTTTACCGACGGTTCCAAAGAAAGTTGTTTGAGTATGGGTGTTGCGTTTTACGATCCTCAGATTAATCAAAGTTTAAAATTTAGAATTTCTCACAATATGTCCATTACTTCTCTTGAATTGATTGCTATTTCAGAAGCCCTAGCATATATCAAATCAATAGATGCCAATAAAATTGTAATTTTAACTGATTCAAAAAGTGCGCTTCAACATGTGGCTCGGTGTACCTCTTATGTAAGAGGCATGCCGATAGCGTACGACATTATAAAATCCCTTTTTGAATTAAAATCAAATGCAAAAGAGGTGGTCCTTCAATGGATTCCTTCACATATCGGGCTGGCAGGTAATGAGGAAGTAGATATATTAGCAAAGCAGGCTACTAGCGATGGTGTGCCCATAGACTTGCTGCCCTTTTTCACTGATTGTATACATCTGATTCGAGAACACGGCTATAAGCTTTGGAAGGTTCATTTTGATGAGCGATCAGTTGAGAAAGGCATATGGTATAGAACATTGCAAAATGAGCCTTGGAAGTCTCCATGGTTTGACAAGTGTACATTGAGGAGGCAGGTATTAACTATAGCCTTTAGATTGCGTTCCGGGCACATTCCACTTAATAAATTTGCGTACATGATGAAAAAAGTGACATCTCCCCTTTGTTCTGAATGTGGGATATTAGAAGATGCGTTACATATTATGGTGGAATGTGTTCGGAACGAGGACATTAGAAATGATATGTTGTTTATAACAGGGAACTTGAAAGACATTGGAGCCTGTAACCAAATATTAGCTTTTCCCCTTTCAGAGGCAGCAAAAGCTATTTACAAAATTGTTGATATCGGTATGAGGCGACGTACGAGTATTTTATGTATATGATTGTTCTATTAATTGTTAATATTGTATGTACTGTATTCTAATTGATGACCTTATGGAGTGATGTAGTCCGAAAGGACTAAAACTCCTTAAATAAAAAAAAAAAAAAAAAAAAAAATTCGTGTGGCAGTGACGCGGTGCTCGGACGACGACTGCCACACGAATGAAAGTTGTATATATTTAGTTGTATACCAGTTTCGAAATAAGAATAATATTTCTTCTTTTGAAACTCGTTTCGTTAACAAATAATGTTTCTTCTTTTGAAACTTTTTTGATGGATAAGAAACAATTTACAGTCCTGTCTTCTTCCACACGCCGAAAACGATATTAAATGGAAGGTATGTGTATATATTGGTTATTCTTGTCCGATCGCTAACCTAATGTGTCTTTTCGATTTTATTTACGAGTTCCGAAAGAAGGAACATTATTATTTTATCGAAACAAGTATCGAAAGAAGAAATATTATACTTTTATGGAAACCAGTTTCGAAAGAAGAATTATTATTCTTATTTCGATACTGGTTTTGAAACTTAGTTTCGTAGGCGACTGAAGGGGATAAATCCAAGATGTGGTAGTGCTTCCTAAGTAATTTACTAATTTCTGGACCTCTTGACTAAGGCGGCCGACTGTAATAACCAGTTTTGGATCACATTATTATACCACCTGTTCCGATACTACATAACACAAATAAAATAAAGTGGTATTTAATGTTCAAATTATCGTTCTACACATTAATCTCTTCCGTTGCAGTATGATACAGTTAATGTTCAGGAAATAACAGAAGGTATTTAAGTAACTAAATTAAATACTCGTTGTCGTAAAATTGTAACCAGTTATACTACCATTTAATTTTTTTTTATGGTATAGCAGGCAAACCAATGAATGGCTCACATGATGATAAGCGACTATTGCCAACCATGGACACCCGTGACACAATTTGCAACATAATGGAGGGTTCATCATCGTAATCATTAACAGCCTTTACTAGTCCACTGCTGCACATGGGCCTCTCCTTAAAAAGGAGGTTTTGGCCTACTATACCTCGCTGGCCAGACGGGTTGGTATAGGGTTTGTTTCAATGGGGGGTCTAGGAGCCGCACTAACTCGGTCAAATTCAATGAAAGAATTTGTTATAACTGTGGATAAATGTGTCGCACCTTTGAACTCTAGAGGGTAGGCACGTAAAGAGCGTCAACGCACTCGTGCCTCTTGAGTTGCATCCATGGATGACGATAGTCACTTGCCATCACGTTACTCGTTTGTTTGCTTGCCCCCCATACCATAGAAAATCTTCAATTAATAAATATCATCTTCGTCTTATTAGTACCAAAAATTGTACCATGTTTGGTGAGGTAGTTTTAAAAATCTTGCACATACGAGTATATGCATCATAATATAGAAATAAAGTAGGTAGATAAAAACAATGAAAAGTTTATTTAATGCATAATTATTGCATGAAAATTTTATTTTAACATTTTTATATTGTATAAAAGGCGATACAGTTGTATAATTTTAATTGGGTAAATTAAGTATGGAAATTAGATGTGGTAAGATAAAAATTATATCGTTTTTGTACCCATGATTCCTTTTTACTTTTTACGAATGGCATCCTCAAATTGCTTAGGTAGTTTTTAACCTCTAAGTAGTTCATATCGGGTCGTTTTGTTGAATTTATAAGCACGAGAATGGACTGCGCGGTCGTCACAACCTACGAACACGCCACTAGTTACCGTCGCACTGTGTTAGCATAAAGTGCTAACAGATACTAGGGAAAATAAAAACTGTAGTACCAATAAAAATGAAATTGTTCGAACTTAATAATGAAAAGTACCACATGGGACATTTAGTGTGGGATGGTTTGAGAACCTTTCCCGATACAATTTGTCAGGTAAATTATTTTATATTATATTTTAATAGTAAAAATAGAAAATTCTCTACATATTTTTACGTTACCCTTATAAGGACGTTTAAATTTGTGAAATCTGGTCCATTATAAAAATGATCAAGTATTTTTTTTTGCAGAGATTAAAAAGTACATTAGCGAAACAGAAAATACTGTTTATTAATAAGTTACTTAGCCATGGACCCGAAAATGTGTTCGCTTTGCACTATAAGGTGCCTTCTAGAGGTACTCATTCTTTGATTTGAAGTTGGAATATATGAATATACATACTCGGGTGTATTCCAAAGAAGTAGGCATGGACGCGATGACCTTATTAAACATCCACATTATATCAACTATAGTCTGGACCAAATAGTTGACAAAACTCACGTACCTACCTAATATTGCCGCTAAAACTATTGTCGCCAACCCAGCTTTAGAAATAAAGTTTTGGCCTACTATACCACGCTGGCCAAATGGGTAGGAATAGGGTTGTTTCAAGTTTTCCTTATCTTTACAGTGCTGTTGTCCTGCGTAGTTTGCTCCCTTAAACGCCTCTTACGACACCCACGGGATGAATAGAATACTTAATTCGTCACCACACTGATATTATATTGATCATTATCATACACTTTCCACCTACTTATTGCTACTAACATTGTTCGTTAATGTACTTTTGCAAAAGTGTGTTATGTATTTAGATACGAAATGGTCGTACGTTTTCGAGAATAGACATCTCCTCAGTTCAAATAACTTTGATTTTACCCCTATTTTTGTATTGAAATATTTTTTTTGGAATTATGTATATGGCAAAACAACGTTTGCCGGGTCAGCTGGTATAGTTGTAGAATACACTCTCTAAATCGTCTAGTTCTCTCTATTTGTGCCTACACATAAGTATGTATTCCTTCTTAATTTGTTACCACACGTGACACGATCATGGGACTTAGTGATGTCAATTTCATACAAATTTAATCGTTTTCTTTTGTTAATTATTAATGTTTTAAATATTTGAATGTGTCTTCATCAACAAATAGGTACTTAAGTAATACAAACATATTTTATTATTTTAATTATTATTAAATGTAATAAGTGATTATTATAATCATTACTATAATAATAATCTTATACATTTCACACATGTCAGTTTGATCCCAAGGCAGAGCCTGTGCTATGGTAACCAGATTGCTGCAGCAAAAAAAATATCGAATATTTGAATTTTTTTATTCGGATTTTTATTTGGTTAAAATACAATATAATAACCTAATTTACGATCCATCATTGATTGGATAGGGTTATAAATGGTTTTACGTATCGTTAATGTGGAAAATTGCAAATGTGTTGAGCCTTAGATTTTATACATACTAATTTTTTTTTTGTTGACACTCCGACTTAGGCGTCTGGGGAGAACCCGGGCCATATGATTTCAGGTCCCCCAGATCGACGCCGCACCCAACTAGGCCCCATCTCAGGGAAAGCCAGTGGCTTCTCCCTGCCTCTCAGCCTATCCTGATGTTGCAGCCCGATCACATTTTCAGTGCGATCAGGCTGCCATCCTTTCTCCTACCGCAGCAATTAATCTGCCACCAGAGGTCCCCACTCTCTGGCGGCCCGCGGTCCCGTCGGCTGCTCATTACGCCGTCGACGTCTTCTTCGCTCGGCATCGGTCCTCTCCCGATCCCGGTCAGCGGTCTCTTTCTGGAGCATTACAGCTTCACAGAAAGAGACCACTGCGCCCCAGCCCTCCTCACCCGCCAGCATGGCAGTAATGATTATTGGCGGAGACAAGTCTCGTCCGATTTCATCGACCAGGACTTCGCGTTCAGATGCCCACGCGGGGCAGTCTTCGAGTGTGTGCTGGGCGGAGTCCCAGTCAGCCGCGCAGTGCTGGCATTGTGCCGTCTCCTCGCGTCCAATCCGATTCAGGTACTCACCGAAGCAGCCATGCCCAGTGAGCACCTGCGTCAGTCGGTAGGTGACGCGACCTCCCTCCCTAACGTACATCTGACATCGTACATCTGAGGGTGCCAGAGACGTGCCCTATTCTGGACGGTCAGAGCCGCCGCCCACACCGGTGCACCGTATAGTGCCATTGACCGGACAACCCCCGTGTACAGCCGTCATGTCACGACGCTGGGTCCACCTAAATTGGGCAAAAGTCGCCCTAGGGCAGACGCAGCGCCGACCAGCTTTGGAGCAAGCTGTCGGAAGTGCTCGTCGAAGAGCCACCTCCCGTCGAGGATTAGGCCCAGATATTTCATCTGGGCCCGAACCGGTACGAGGACCGAGTTGACCACGATTGAGGCGCCAGGGGGTGGACCACGACGGGGCCCATGAAGTAAGAGAGCCTTCGTCTTATCTAGGGCCACCCGTAAGCCCAGCGCCTCAATGCGCCCGACCACCAGGGAAACTCCCCTTGTGGCCAGGCGCGCCGCCTCTTGGAAGTTCGCCCCCCGGGCTAAAGGATAAGGATAACCCACAGTAACCTCTTAAATATTACTTAATTTATTATATTCCTTATCTAATTATATACGTTAGATACGTTATGCATTTAATGTAGACGAAAATTGCTCTTCACAGCATATCATTACAATGAATATTTTAGAAGCCAGCCAGCAGGATCGTAGCGGGCCTATAAATATTGCAAAATAAAGATGTCCTGTAGTATAGTCTATCATGATAATAGTATAATTAATTACTCCACACTGATACCACATTAGTAGTATTTGTAGTATCTACATTGCACCCGTGCGAAGCCGTGGCGGATCGCTAGTTTGTTACGTAAAAGCGCCTAAACCACAAAACTAAATTTAAAAATTCTATCGTTTTGACATTTCATAAAGAGAGTGTTATTAATTGGAGTAGACATGGCCTACATGTCATCCACCCCAAATTACTGTCAAGTATTGTAGGACTACAGTACGCAACGTCATCTATACCCAAACCAAGCATAGTTTGGACTACGCATTCTAGAACACGGTAAATACTTTAATAATACCTATATGGTATTCTAAAGGGGGTGTTTGCAGCTTCCCTCGGGACAAGACCGAGTAGGGCAGAGTAGTAGTAGGCACCTGAGGCCGGTCATCGGGGTAGATTTTAGTGGTAACACCACATCCTCCGTCCCAAGGAGCCGGAGATCCGAAGGGATTTCCCACCCCTACAACAAAAAAAGATAGTATTCATAGGAATACTATCCTTTTTGTAGGGGTGGAAAGAAACCAAACAATGAAGTACTCGTATACGAGTACTTACATTTAGTTGTTAACACGAGACCAATGTAAGTAGACATATTCATACATTCAAATGCTGAAACCTGTCTTCTATTCTTTTTTTTTAAAAGAAAATATATTATTTGTTTTCCACAGATAGACGCTGCAACGGGTGAAAGCGAGACAAACGCATCAGTTCTCCGTCGGTCGGTGCAATTCGCGAGATGTCTTCTTCGCTTCGGCGTTCAACCCGGCGACGTTATGGCGCTGAGTGGTAGAAACCACCTCGACTTGCACATACCCTACTACGCTGCACTCATGATCGGAATGCCTGTTTCTGGTTTAGATCCAGAATTCAAATATAGTAAGTTTCAAATAAATATTAAATTGGCTGTTAGTCTAGCAGTTAGTGATCCTGACTGCTAAGCTTGAGGTCGTGGGTGCGATTCCCACCCAGGACAAATAATTGTGTGATGCGCAGAATCAAACGATCATGCTCATCATATAAATTACACTCAGACACAAAACAAACGTTCTGTGCCTGGGTGTAATTTATCTATAATATTAGGTCCTTACATATGAAATTGGCGTTTTGTACGGGTGGAATATAAAGTCAATTTTTTTTTGTAAAATATATTTCATTAATCAAAGTATGCACCGTTGTTATCTATGCACTTTTGCCATCTCATAGGTAGTTTATTGGTCCCTTTACTAAAAAAAGCATGGGTTCGAGAATCAATAAACTCTTTGAAGGCGGTTTGGACTGCCCCATCGGAGTTGAATTTTTTTCCTTGTAAGAAGTTGTCCAAATTCCGGAAAAAATGGTAATCTGTTGGAGCAAGGTGCGGGGAGTACGGTGGATGTCGCAGACATTCCAATTGTAGCTCATCTAACTTAGTGGTTGTTTGTTGTGCAGTGTGTGGTCTTGCGTTGTCGTGAAGCAGCAGTGGCCTAGAGCTATTAACCAATCTCGGTTGTTTAGCAGCTAGTTCTTCCTTCATGGTTTGCAGTTACTGACAATAGATATCTGCCGTAATCGTTTGGCCAGATTTTAGAAAGCTGTCGTGAACGACACCGGCGCTAGTCCACCAAACACTCACTTTTTCTGAGTAAATTTTCGTTTAGTGCAACGAAAGCAGTCGACGCGTGTTTGCAAGTTCGATTCACTCAATTCATGAGGTACCCATCGGTCAAGTTTTTTTACTTTCCCGATTTGCTTCAAGTGGATCAATACAGTTTTATCACTTACCCCGAAGCCTGCAGCTATCTCTGAAGTGATTTGTGATGGATAGCCTTTAATGGACAATAGCCTTTAATTCTTCATTTTCCACTTTGGTCTCCGGCCGTCCACGGGGTTAGTTCTGAAGGTCAAAATTTCCAGAACGAAAACGTTGAAACTAAAAACGTACCGTGCATTCTTTTGTGACATCAGTGCCGTACACATCATTAATCGTTCGAGCTGTTTCTGCAGCACTGGTGCCACGATAAAACTTGTAGTCCTAAATATACCGATATTTCATGTTTTCCATTGTGCGGTAATAAGCGACGCCAAAGAAAAAAATAATGAGGAAAAACAAATGACTGTTTTCAAACCTCAAATGTAACAGCTAAATGAATTTATAAATTTGAATTTGGAATTATTAACCAAAGAGGAGATATTTCAGATCAAAGTGGTCAGTACGACAAAACGCTAATTTCATATGTTCTCGTTTTTTCCACGGTGACACAAGTCCACAACATCGTACGGACCAAAGTCCAAATTGAAATTGTTTCGTTGTGCTAAAAAATCAAATTACTTCTAATAATTTTCCAATATGTTTTCCTGGTATTTATTATCTATATATATATAAATATTTTGTTGGTTTGTGTACGCATCAATAACTCAAAATAGTTCTGCACCAATTGAGCTCACATTTTGTCACAATCATGGACGTATAAAAAAAGTCGGGCGGAACTCTCGCTAAGACAAAAGTGAAACGCCATAATGGCGGCAACTCTTTGTGTGCGAATTCATTTTGGGGTTGCCAAGTTACCCAAAATTTTGCAATTAAACACGGTCAACATATAAAAAAAAATATTTGTTCGAAATTGTAATGTTTAACATCCCAAATTTTTTTATAATAATGTCTTTTAGTTTGAGAGGTTCTTGAAATTTCCTCTAATTTCGAGATGGGGTGAAACCTAATCGTTAAATATTTTTCCGCTATATATTTAATAAGACTTATTTTATGTTCTATACCGGCGAAATTATATTCGGATTCTAAGTTAAAAAAAAAACCCTTTATTACCAACAATTTTTTCTAGAATTTTTGTGATAATATATTTATGTTGCCTTTCATTGTATAATGTGATGCTTTCTTTTATAATTTTTCTTATAACCATTTCGCAAATACAACAAATATGGAACATTTCTTTCGATGGTAAATGTAAGATTACAATTATAATTAATTACATTACAATTTCTAATTATTTGAATCCAATCATTTCTCCATACTTCATTTTCCTTAGAAAATCTAACAATAGGAATATAAAATAAAATACTCAGTAGTAACTATTAAATAATTAACCTTAATATATTGATTTTAATAATAAACTAAAAATTGCCCATATTTCGGGTAATTTGCACACGTGAATATTGGCAACACTGAACTTAAAATGAATTGTTTTAGCGAATGAAAATTGAGTTTAATGTATAAAATCTGGAAATAAGTGATTGAATTATTCATTTACCTATGAAACGTGATTCCTAGATTGTTTTTCTTTCGATCACTACGGTTTTTACACCATTTTACCACGCAAGACATGATGTATATTTATATTTTTTCGCCGCGTAATGTGTCTCGATGACGCGATGTTCGCGCGCGTAATGGCCGACTAATGTGTGAAAGTGTGCGTACTGGCCTGTACATACAGCTGAGCTGGCCGACTATGAATCCACAGTTGTTTGTTAGCGAGACTCTGTCCGACTTTTAATACGTCCATGGTTACAATGTACAACATGCTTCAACGATCTATTTGTTTTACAATGTGCCAAGCGAAGCGCGGCAGGGCACCTACGGCTAGTTGTTAAAAAATACCTACCAGACATTGCCTAATGTTCAATTGGGCCATAATTCGTAACATTTTTATTTAAAAAAAACTCTGCTTTGTTTCATTGACCTTTACTCGAAAGCAGTTTCGAATACATAGCACATAAAAGTACCTGAAAATCTCAGGCTCAAAGAATGCTATCATAATGAAATAAATTAAAACTCCTTAAACCACAGTCATAATATTTATTTGTCCCTTTGTTATACTTATTACAATTTACATAGATAAAAAATTATTGAACTCACTAGAATAGAACAAATGCTACTTTTTATTCCGGGAAAAATTCTCGTCAAAATCGACAAAAAGTTAAAGCTAGCCTTTATAGCTAGTTTATAAATGTTAAGAAATTAAAAAAAAATGACCGACTTTTATTGTCAGATTAAACTCATCTGATCTGTTCATTACACCATAATTTATTTTTACTTTCAGCTGAAATAAAAGTTCAATATGAGATATTATGTTCTCCCAAGGTTGCGTTTTGTCAAAAGGAACGCCTCGAGGACCACTTACAAGCTATTAAAAACCTAGGTTTGGACACGAAATTAATCTGCTTTGATGATGGAGAGTACTCCATGAAGAAATTTATTCAGGAGTATGATGACGGTTGTGATGACACAGAGTTTGAGTAAGATGTTTTGTATTTCTTAGTTAAATAGGAATTACTTTTTTATGGAATAGGGAGGCAAACGAGCAGATCAGTCCCCTGATAGTAAGTCGCTACTGTCACCCATGAACACCGGCAACTCAAGAGTGACAAATGCGGAGGTAGTGATGAAAACTCCGGGGCTTTCTCCCCATATTTAGGGGTAAAAGTCTATAAAGGGAGTTTTGTATTTTTAGCAAATTTTACAGTATTTTCTACGTTTATCAACAGAACTAAAAAAAATTGAATCAGATTGATTGATTCCAGTTTTAATAGATGACGTGTACATTTTGGATTATACTCTAAACAGCTAACAGCTAAAAAATTACATAGTCACTCATACCTGTTGTTTTTTGTATTATTTTTAAATATTGCAATTAATAAATACTTGGCCTTAATTATATTGCAATTAATAAATACTTGGCCCGTCGCCGGGGAGTTTAGGTGTGAATTAAGTGGTTTTTAAAAAGGCTTTAGGGGAAATTTTTAAACAGATGGCGACACTCGTCGCGAGCAAGTTTAAGCTTACTCTCTCGGTAAAAGGCTACGAAAGAACTGCTTAACAACGGTTTTCTGTGAGGGCGTGGTACCACTCCGGTCTTGTCTTTCCTAAATATACCGATGCAAGTACTCACCCACTCAGGCTAAGGGAGCAAACTAATCAAGACAACAGCACTGCAAAGATACGGAAAACTTGAAACAAACCCTATACCACGCCGTCTGGCCAACGTGGTATAGTAGGCCAAAACCTACTTTCTAAGGAGATGCCCATGTACGCAGTAGACTATTAAAGGTTGTTGATGATGATGAAGACTCACCCACAATAATATCCTATTTATTTGTCTTGGTAACATTAAATTTAGACAGATTAAAAATGGTAGATAGAAAAATATTTTATCTTAGTTTGTCCATTAAAAAAATAAAAATTCATCATAACATTGACGTAGTGTCTCCTATGAAGCTAGTCATTAAATGGCATTGCATTTACAAAGGAACAGCAAAGTTGGAAGAGGTTCTTAACAGTGAAAATTAATTATAATTACTATGAATTGGTTAAAAGGAAAAATTGGAATAAAAGTGTAATGATTAATTTCCATTTCAGGCCATTAGACTTCGATTTGGACCAAATTTATGGCTGGCTCTTAAGTACAAGTGGCACCACAGGCGTAATAAAGGTTGCTGCCTGTAAACATAGAATGGTTTTAAAAAAGTGGTTTGAGTTGTTAAGGCCCATGATTAAAGCGTTTCCATGTGATGGGGACTTAATGTATGTTAATATATAAATATATATTTATCTCAGAAATCTTAACTGGTGAAAAATATTTCAACCGGCACTGGGCAATATTACTTACTTACGGGCGGCCTTGTTTTTTTTTTACGCGTGGAAACCCCCTCAGGCCGTCACCCACCGGGGTTTGCGTCTGGGTGGTGTGTCGGAATCGGACCGACTAAAACCACACGGTGTGCCACTCAGCGCCTGTTATAGGAGTGATCCGGGAACCGCTATTATTAAGATATATATAAGATATATCATGCGACAACAGGGGGGATCGAGAGTGGACCCCTACCATTGCCGAACGATTAAGGAACTGGCATGTCCTGCAAGAGGTTGAGACTCTCCCGGATCACTTACATAACCCATTTGAGCTCTCCCGGACCCAGGACCCCAGCAGGAGTCACGTGGCGCGGCGTTCCTCCTGCTTTTGCTTGACTGAACAGGAATCTACTAGAGGAGGCAGCCAGAATTCACTCCTGGCTGTCTCTTGGCTGGTCGCTTTCGCTGTGCGATTACACTGTGATGCGGCCATGCCCTGTATCTGAGGTCATCGAGGAAGAGAACGACGAAGAGATTCCGCCTGTCACTGGGTATAATTTGTTATGCCGATGATACTTTTGTCACAGCTCGGGGGCGAACTTACAAGAGGCGGTGCGCCTTGCCACCAGGGGAGTCTCTGTGGTGGTCGGGCGCATTGAGGCGCTTTCTTGGGCCCTTTTCGTGGTCCTCTCCCTCAATCGTTGTCAACTCGGTCCTCTAAACGTACCTCGTACTCGGAGAGGGCCCGGGAGGATGTCCTCCACTCCATGTGTACCAGCGCCTCATGCCGCCCTGAGTGTGGCTGCGGGTGGACAGGTCGGGTTTTCCCCTCCACCCGCCATAACTGCCAGCTGCGAGGAGGCGACGTCCGGCGCGGACGAAATAAATATAGAATGTACCCGAAGCTGGTGCCCGCACCATTGCGGGCAGGCTCTAGTAGGGGTCCGGATGGCTTATTAACAGCAGTTCCCGGGGGAGGATTTCCGCACGTAAAAAAAAGTTATAAATAGTCACCATTAATGTGCGAAGGCGAGCGAGAGCGAAGTGAATGTGCCGCAGCAGGCAGCGGCCGCCTTGCGCCAGAACCCCTCTGTTGTTGGTTAATCATTGCGGTTAGATGATGCTTCATTTTACCGGTTAAAATATTTTTTTTACCGTTTAAGAGTTCTAACTGTAACATAAATATATCTAATCTTCTTATTAAATCTCTATCTAATGTTTCTACTTAAACTTTGTCCTATAGAAAAAATGACAAGAACTTGCGAATACTTAATTTGTCTTCGGTGCAGTGGATATCTTTTGCCTTTGAAGGACTGACCGGGCCCGCATTACGTGTCACCAATATCATGACGTCAGCCCCCTCCACCACAGAGCATATTATTGATATAATTAATGCGTATAAGGTAAGCCAGAAGTTAAGAAATAAAATTCAAAATTTTAGTGATAAAAAACCTAATTAGATAACATGTAGGCATTTTTTGAACAGCACAGAAAACTATTTGCTCGGAACCTTAAGTGTGCGAGATAAACTATCACTTTATTACCCATATTTAATCATTCCCACGGTAACACATTTTTTCGGGATAAGAAGTAGCCTAAGTGTTAATCCAGGGTATCGGCTACCTACATACCAAGTTTTATCAAACTTGTTCTAGCCATTTGAGTGTAAAAAAGTAAGAAATATACAAACACACACATTCACAAACATTCGCCTTAGTGATAGTTATGTGATGGCTTAATATTTTTTTATGACAACTCCCGCACTTGGTATGTATCCTGTCCATCCGGACCGTCCATCCGTGCAGTCAAATATAATGTACCACTGCCTTCGATCAACAATGTTGCTATTGTTGATCGAAGACCACTGCTGTTAATTGTTTTTTTTTTTATTACGATTCAAAATATTAAGTTTCCTGTCTTTTATTCTCATAATCTCCGCTCTAATAATAAAAAAATAATGCTTACCCAAAATATCGTTTAAATGGCTGGCAGCATATGGATGCGGATTGCCCAAGACCGGAATGGTTGACGCTCTTTGGGGAGAGGGGGGAGCCCTTTTTTATTGATACCAAAACATTTTCAGCCAGTACTGACAACGATGGTGCCTTTTATGGTCGCAAGTATTCTGAAGAGTAAGAAGGAATGCGATCTCAGTTGTTTCGATAGTATCACGATATCGGGATCAAAGACTCCTGAGAATTTACTTTTGCAATTACGGGTATGTGGCTTTTTGGATTTCAAGATATAATGTGCTTACGTATTTATTTATCTTTTGTGGCATGGTTTACCTTCTTTAATGTGCCCGTGACAAGATAGTAATCAAGTAAGTAAGACAGTCAATTTTCTAAAAAGTATCTTAATCAAACTTTGTAAGGATCTAATCGAGTGCAACAAGTTAAAGAAGTTAAGGAGGAGGATAATTAAAAAAACCGATGTATTACGAAACCCTGTAGATACAAAGTTATATCTCATATCGAAATTGTTCAATTGTTATATGATTCTCGTTATCTGTCATAATAGTTAGACTAGTACAGATTCTAATCTAACTACGCCTAAATATTTATTATATTTTTTTAGGATAGATTGCTTCCTGGCACAATAGCCAATGAGATCTATGGACAGTCGGAGAACTTAGGACCCATATTAAGCCCGAATCCATCGGGGCCGATTGGAAACTGTGGCCATTGTCCATTCGAGTGGCAAAAAAATGTCAAAGTTAGTCACCAGAAATTTTATTTTTTTAACAAGATAATAATTTTATTCTTTTATATTATTAAACTGTTGATTTAGGTATTTTTAAAACCGACTTTTCACCAAAAAGCACAACGCCATCTATAGAGGTAAACATAATTTCTATTAATAAGGCAAATTCAAGAAAAAAATAAGGCAAATTCTAAGCTTGTAGAACAGGCTACAAGCTTAGAATTTGCCTTAGTTTTATATGGTGTAGGTGTGTTAGTATTTATTGTAGTGTAATGTTTTCTTACTAAGATGTGGGTATGTATCTGTATGTATATGTTTTTATTTTAATAAAATTCCAGTTGGTAGATCCAGAGAATAACATAGAAATAAAGGAACCGAATGTGCCAGGAGAGATGATAACTAAAATAACTGGTTTTTCTGTAAGTAACCATTATTGAGACATAACAACAAATCTATAAGTAGTGTTTGTGTTTAGTTAATAAACACCGACCCGTTTTGAAAGATGTATCGTGAACATGTACAAAACCATTGTATCGTGATTATCGAGCAAGATAGTAAAAACTGTTCACATACAGCTGTGTACACACAAAATTGCAATCAATTGAAATATATAAATCTTAGGCAAACTAACTAAAACGTGGGAGATCCATGCGTGTTACTGACACTAGCTTGGCTACCATCATGGATTTTAATTCTGACAACATAAAAATTTAGTCGCTAATTAGTCGAAATTTGTCGCCAAATATCAGAATTTATCGGTCACTGGTACTAAAGTTATAAGTATTTCGAGGTGACCGACCTAGGAAGAATCTTCCCAGGTTGGCCAAGCTTATATTTCAAAAACTAGCGAAGAATTTATTTCTCTCTAAATTTCTCTAAATTTAGTCTTAATTTGTCTCCAAATCACAAATTTAGTCGGGTCTTCGTTTAGGAGACATAATAACCTCAATTTTAAAGGTAGGTATAGTCTAAGAGCTAGCTCGCAGAGTTTACGAAAAAAAATATTATTATGTATGTATACTTCTAGTTTTGAGTCCTTAGAAATGACAGAGAGATATAGAGAGATTCTTAATTAAATACATGTTTTTATGTTTTAAATTACTAGATAAATATTGGAAACAACAATATACACAAACCAAAAATACCAATTATAATGTCCAGCTCTAATTTACATGGGAAAAAAAAACTTCAGTTGCTGAAATAAGAATATTTGTACCTTTAGCGTGGCCCAGCTGGGTAGTCTGACCTCAGCAAGGGAACCTATAAACGGTTTAACTTTGACTGGTTCCAAAATTATACCTTTTATAACAGATCGAAAGTTGATCGGAACTAAATTGTGAGTAAACTTTTATTACGTGAATTGACCTTCAGGAAAGTCTAATGCAGTTCGTACCACATGATCTTCGTCTCATCTTTTGACATGGCCATACCAGCGAATGTAGTTTTCGGTAATTTTATCTGAAATAGGTGCAACTTTGAAGCTTCCTCTAATATATTCGTTGCAGATTTTATTCAGTCGCGTTACACCACCCGTCCATCTTGCATCTTTATTTCGCCGGCCTTTGTTCATGCGACTTCTTTCTCTTCTTCAGACCCTTAATAATAACGCCGGGCGGATTGCCGATTTATTTACTTTACCTTTTGTTTGGATATACGGGTATACGTGGGTCACATAGGTGAGCGCCATTTTTGCCCTGTGAGGTTTATTCTGTGTATCACATAAGTGTCTACATTGGCATCGGGTATAAGTATGGAGGTAGATATTTAAATTTTTCAACGGTGCGGATACTTCACATAAAGATGGTTTCTTGTGTAGCATTTTAGTTTTTTTAAACTCAGCCACGGCATCTTCAGGGTTCATAAAACGAATTCCTTTAAGTTTATCATTTATTTTGGTGGTAAAAAAGTCACAAAGTTTCACATAGGGACTGTAGGGAGGATGATTTATTAGCTCCACACCTTTGATAGACAAAGATTCGAAAGTCTAGCTGCCGGAGTATAAACAAATAACATAAGAAATCATTAAACATCAACAGATTCCCGAAGAGTTACTAATTCTTAATTAAAAAAATGTATTCATTGGCTACTTTTCTTACTTACAGTGTGATCCGCGTATTAATAATTTAAGAAAAACCTGTTTTACATAGTTTAGCTTCATATGACATTTAGTAAGTCTTGATTGTTCAATGGTGTATTGAATAATGAAGACTATATAAATAAAATTTAACGTTTAAGACTATAAAAATTTATACTCAAAATCAAAATCAAAATATAAACTTAAGTAGCTCGACATAAACTCAAGAACGCTTTCAATTTAAAAGTACCCAGTTTAGCAAATTAATTGGTCAAGTCAAAGTTAAGGTTTTCAGTTATTTTGACAACGTATCATTAAATATCATTATTAATCTACTCTCTTTACTTATTTCTAATAAACATTTCGCCTTCAACCTAAAAAAATGTATACAGTAGCACAGCAGCTGGCGTACCACAGGGTAGCATTTTATTACCTTGTTTGAATACAATACACTTGCTAGCTGTAGCTTTATTTATTCTGATCGTCAGGAATACTATAACAATCCGGCAGAGACTAAAAATGCATTCACAGACGACGGATGGTTCAAAACAGGAGACATTCTGTACAGAGATGAAGGAGGCAACTATTTCTTTGTGGAACGATTGAAGATGCTCATCAAATATCGTGGGTACCATGTAAGTTGACCACAATGTACGACAATGTAAGAAAATAGCTGAGGCCAACTCCGACCATTTCTTTCTGTTCATAAAAGACTAATTACTCTGAAGTCGCAAGTGTCTATCTGCCGCGGTAGTCACTTACCTTCATTTGACCCGTCTGCTCGTTAGCCCTCTACTTAAAAATGGACCGAAAATTATAATAATAGATGAAAACTTCGTTGTTTACTATTACAGATAAGACCTTCAGAAATAGAAACTTTAATCTTAGAGCACCCTGGCGTCAGTGACGTGAGTGTGACAAGCATTCCTGACGAAGAAGATGGAGAACATCCGGTAGCTTGCGTCGTGAGGAAAATAGGCAGCAACGTTACTGCGCAGGAGATCAAGGACCTTGTAGCTAGTAAGTGTTGCTGTCTTGATGTGGATTAAAAGTTGTGTTAGATATTAGAAAATCTTAATCATCGTTTGTAGCCCCCTCCTCCTTGTGTCGTTATCCTCAATTCTGAGGGTAGTGACCCCTATTATAGCGATCCTGCGAGTGATAGCTCGCCACCCATTCCTGTCTTGAGCAGTGTGTGAGGCAGTCATCTGCCTCACACACTGCTCAAGTGTGTCAGATGGGCATCGTTATGCCCCTCTGACACAAAGAACCTGATCCTGGTCTTTTGTCGGTAACTTCTGAACGAAATATTTTACCAATAGTGTGCAGTAAATTTCTGCCTAATGCTTTATTTTTTTACTACAGGTAAACGATCAAATTCTCAACAGTTGAGAGGCGGTGTGGTGTTTTTGAATGAAATCCCGTTAACGTCTACAGGAAAGATCGCTCGCGGTAAAATAAAGCAGATAGCACTGACCGCTCAGAGGGAATAGTTGTGCAAATATTTATTAGTATCGTTATTTAAATTAAACATAATGATTACCATTACATCGTACCTGCTTATAATAGGCTTGCGTCGCTCTTCAACTTGATACTGACTTAGACAAGCCCGTAGCCTTCAAATACATATTAAGATACGTTAAGTTATGAACAGGTTCAAACGTTTATGACTAAGTTTTGTTTTACTTTATAGATTACGGAAATAACCATGAGCAAAGCTAGTAAATGTACTTGTTATAAAAAATAATAATAAATAATAATAATAATATTCTACCACATTCACACAACGTCATCAAGTCCCAAACTAAGCAGAGCTTGTACTATGGGTACTAGACAACTGATATAAATACATTTATACTTTTTTTTTGTCAATACATGCATATTATACGTTGTTTCTACGTCCCAGACCAAATCAAACATTAAATGTTCATGCACACAAATGTTTGACTTGAGCGGCATCGAACCCGCGACCTTTGGAATAGCAGTCCGTTACACAAACCACTACGCCATCAGGTCGTCAAAATGTCAATCATATATCGAGAAAACCTCATTTTTATAATAATCAAAATATCTTATCTTAAATCAAATATCTAGCATAAAAAATATATTTAAATCTGTATTAATTGTTGTACACACGGAGGAAATATATTCTGAAACCAAAAATAAAGTTATTTTGAGTACCTATTTTTTTGTGATTTGTTTATTTCTGCTATAATTTTCATTATTAAGTCTAACACTGACATTATTGACGTTTTGGACGATTGATTGATTACGGGAGTGTGAAAATCATGCAGGTGAAAGTCTTTTAGCCACTGTGTATTTAAAATATGAAAGTGCATTATCGCCCCATGAGGTAAAATAATGTGACACAAAACTGGTTATTACAGTCGGCCGCCTTAGTCAAGAGGTCCAGAAATTAGTAAATTACTTAGGAAGCACTACCACATCTTGGATTGGCCACTCGATGGCATCTCAGCAATAGCGTGTCAGTGGTATGACAGTGGCTTGGCGTGAACATAAAATAGCAGAATTGAGGCCCTGTTATTCTTGTCCGATCGCTAGCCTAATGTGTCTTTTCGATTATATTTACGAGTTTCAAAAGAAGAAACATTATTTGTTTATCGAAACGAGTTTCGAAAGAAGAAAGATTATTCTTATTTCAAAACTGGTTTCGGAACTTGGTTTATACTTTAAGAGACTTTGGTATGATACAACCGATGTGCCTCAAACTGGTTTTATTAGAACGGCAATAATGCGAAGATGGTTTTAAGACCACAAGAAAACATAATTTTCTTTTTTAGCATAGTAGTACACGTCAGAAATCCTCGTACAACAAGAATTATTATCATTAACGTTGTGCAAGCTACAGTTTGTTAAATCTTTGGATAATATATTCTTTAATTGAATATTTTCAGTAAAACATACAAATACGTGAAGTCCAAGTTTCACAAAGAGCCAATAAAAAGTTTTTTTTTTTTTTTTTTTTTTTTTATTATATTTATTTTAATTAAATTTATGCATAATTAAAATTATGCATAGAACCTATTTACCAAAAGTAAAATCTTATAGCATTCATTCTTTTTAATTCATTATATTTCTGCGTCACTGTTCCTCGGTAAAAATATAATGGATCATTGGTAAATACAATATTATTTAAGCCGTTATTTTGAAGGATTAAAATATTTTCGTTTATTTTAAAAGATTTATTATATTTCGGAAAATGTTTATCTGGCTAACAATAACTTGAAATGAAATAATAATGAAACTAATCTTAAAAGGCAAGGTACAATAAGTGTTTTATTACCAATTTATACTGAGCTACGGTTGCGAGATTTAGAATTAAGCACTCATAATTGTTATAAACTCAATGTTAATCTGTTAAATTAGAGACCGGACGATTGGTTTAAACATTTGCTTTGTCAACGTGCATACGAAGGAGTAATGAAAACGCCTGGAAAATTGATGATACGTGAATACACATATTAAACTATTAAACTCTCGTTTAATTTTTTCAAAAGTTTTTTAATGAAACCATTACTAACCTTCAAAATAAATATATATTACAAAAACTTGAACGTAAGGGTAAGTGCCTAATATGGTACAATTCTTCGTTAATAAAAGAAAAGAAAAATACAAAAAACATAAAAAGGTTTAGAACCTACGGCAATTTGGCTGATAAACGTACTTTTCAATTATTACGTGAGAGGACTAAATCATTAGAGTCAATTTGTTACACTAACTATGTTAAAAATATAGAAGCATCTACTAAAAATAATCCGAAATTTTTCTGGTATTACGTTAAGAATCGATAAAATTCGCGCGCCATTCCTAGTTCACTACTTAATCGCAATAAAAATCAATTACTACAAATCAACCACTTTTCTCAACCATAACACTAACAACTCGTGCAGTCTTTTCGTCACAATTGCCAATTGTGTCGCTGATATCTGGGTCATACTCAGAAAAAATGTACATTTGGCACTTTTTTTGTCCCACTACTTTAATAGCAGATTTAAAATTTGAATATTATGGCACATATTTTTAACCATGTTTACATCTATGTTTAGTCTTTAATAGGATCTTTTTTTTATAAATAATAATAATATTTTCGTCAAATCATAAAATAAATAGCATTGGGATTTTCTTATAAAATATCTTCCATACATTTTTTTAATGTCCCAATAACGATTTTTCTTTGTAAAAGAGTAATTGTTACGACTATTAGTCGACTTACATAAGATTGACTGTAGTCATTTAGGTCTCTTTTAGTTCATCATCATCGTATAATTCTGAACGCAGTTGTTCGAAACTGACGGGAAATAATTTTCCTAATATTAACAACATTGCTGCTTTTTATAATTCACCGTACATACAGAGGTAATTTTGTTTTCATCTGTACCCGGGAGTCATTGTTTTGAATTCGCATTTGGAAAAAAATACTGTCAGGGTGATAAACGATTTGAATTTCGATAAGCATTTACGATTGATTGTACTATTTTATGCCCACGTCTTAGTTATAACAATACATAGACAAATAAATTCAGTTATTGTGTATACAATAAGTGGTACTAACAGAATTATTTTTCGGGGTTATAATTTCTCAGAGTTTGTCTTCAGTTTAGTTATATTGCGTTATGTTACGAAACTGAGAAATTGTAAAGCTGAGTTTAGGAAGTTACTCTAATTTGAAAAATTAATTAATATCTGTTAAAATTTTATTACATTAATTGAGGGGAACAGAAGTGTAATCGTGGTACAATGAAAATGACGGGCTTGATTCCCGAACGTAACAATATATTTCTGTTGAACTAAAAAAAATATGATTGACTTATTATTTTACTATTTGTGTGGGTACTTGTGCAGAGTAGTCAAGTATTTAGGATATTTTTTAATATTTGTAATTTAACGAGAAAACTGTAATTTAATTTAATTTGTAACTACTACTAAACCTACAATTGCATATTATACTCGTACATACTGATTCATACAATTGAGTTTTTTTTCATTATTTTGTAGCTGGATGGTCCCCCATAATAATTGCAATCAAGCCTTTAGGCGTAATAAGTAATTTAAATTTATTAGCTAAAAAATTATAATATACTTAAAGAGTGCGTCCATTGGTACTTTTTTTATGGTTCCTACTCCAATGAAAATACACTTTTTACTTGTTCTTCAAGAGTAGCACTCACAGCACTACGTCACACTAACTTAACTAAACAACTAAAAAGGCTTAGGGTTCTTTAGTCTTAATAATATATTCGTATCGTTGGAATATTCACTTATTCCTGTCGGGTAGGATGAGCCTGATTTAGATTTCTGAGATATTATGTTTTTATTTAGATTAATTATGTGTGTTCTGTTCAGTATGTACCCTACTTTACAATATCAGTTTCGTCACATTGATTCTCCATTTCGTTACTTATCAGTTTATTAACAAATGGCAAATGTACATTTTTTCTGAGTATGACCCATCTGTCAAATAGAAGAAAAAATGGATGATGTGACTAACTTGCTCCAGAAGCTAGATATTTTTTTAAAGGGTGCAGGGCCTGACAACATGCTACCCCAATTACTGGTGAGATGTGCACCATCTATCGCCCTCCCAGTCTCATTTCCATAGACCAATTTCTAAACTGTGCGTTATAGTTACAGTATTTGAGGGAATTGTCTATATTCAGCTCTATTCTCTAATCTCGAATTCATTGTACTCTTTCCAGTATGGCTTTTAAGGGGCCGGTCTACTGCCACAAACCTAGTCTTATTTAACTAATTTATTCCCAAAATTCTCAATTGTAAGATATACTAGGAAGTATAACGTTTTGCACACTTCTTATACTTTGGGGGCATCTAAATCACTTGGTTTTATAATGCCTTTAGACAAAACCTTTACAGAATCCAAAACCTTTAAAATTCTATACTACACCTATGTCAGAAGTTATTAATAGAGTATATGTCCCAAATATGGAACCCGTGCTATGTAGTTTATATAAATCGAATCGAAAATATACAAAACCGTTTAAGTAAATATATATGTTATCACCAAAGAATTCCGTAGGTACTACTCTAATGATTATCTCAGATTGTGTAACAAGTTTCATCTCCTCCCGCTTATGTATCGACGTGAAATTGCGGACATTACATTTCTTATAAAAAATATTAATAACATTATTGACTGTCTTGATTTGCTTGAGAAAATATTTTTTAACGTGCCATCTAGGTCACTTCGCTTTAATCCCGCACTTCACGTTCCTCATGCTAAAACAAATTACCTACAAAACAGCTACTTGGTGCGCGAAGGCAGAAACTTTAATAAGGTATGTGAACAGCATGATATTGATCCCTTTTTTATAAGTATTTCTTCGGCAAGAAGGCGCCTAAGCCCTAATTTTTTCAATTAGATATAATGTAAGATAGTGATACGGCTCACTCATCACTGTGATTTTCGGCTACTTTTTTTTGTTGTCTTGTTTGTCTGTTTTTTCTTGTTTTTTTT